ATGAGGGCGTCAGGAGAGTCGAGCAGAGGCAATGCGTATGCGTCGCCCAACAGGCGTGCGAAGGGCCCGGCGGCCTCGTTCCACGTCTTCCCCCCGTCGTCGGATTCGAAGACCCTGCGCCGCCACTGAGAAGATCCGGAGGTGGCCATGAAGAGTTTCCCCTCCCACTCGACAAGCGTGGCAGCGTCACAGTCCTCAGGAACCACAGCCGCCGCAGGAAGCTTCCAATTCTCCCCATTGTCCTCGGAGTACATGACGGTGCATGCAAGTGTGTCTGTTTCGTCGGTGATGAATCCCGCAAGAGGGAAAACAATCGTCGCCGCCCCAACCGCGACGCCTCTGGACATGCGAGCGGGTTGCAGATCCTCCAACGACTGCTGCTGCATCTGTCCGGCAAGCACGGAATCCAACGGCCGGGGAGCCCCCCACAAGACTCGCTGCCCTCCCCGCTCGCCCCCGGACCCCTGAACCTCACCAACAACCAACGCCGAGCCCCACCCAGGATCACTCTGCAAAGAAGACTGTGTGGTCACTCTTCTTTTTTCCAGAAGCAGATGTATTTTATTGCCCTTCCCCACGGCCTTTGGGTCAAACGGTGATACATGGTAGCCCTCTGCTTCCGCTCGCTTGGCCACAAGCTGCGTCTTCCACTCCGTTCCGTCCCATGCAGCGCCTTCGTTCATCTTCCATTGGCCCCGTACGCACTGTACTTGGCCCACATTTCAAGACGCACGTCGCTGTCACTGTTGCTGTGTGTGCCGACGGCAAGAGCAACCAGCACACCATTCACGTCAAGAAGGGAGTGGCTGTAGAAAGAGGAGACACTTTCATAACGGTCTTTGTCGCTCTCTTCCCCAGCAGCAAACACAGGAGTTTCCCCTGGTTTGAAAAGCTCCACCTCCTTCGACGCCTCCTGCGTCACTGCAGCGTTGGCCCCGGCCCCACTGCCGCCGCAGCACACCAACAGAAAGAGCAGCAGCACCGCTGAGGAAAGCCAGTGGAGGGACATGTTGGGCCGCTGCCGCTCACTCACTTCCTTGCGGCGGGTCCGCTCAGGCTGCAACGATTGTGTGTGCGTGTTGCTTGTGGCGACTGCAGAGCCCTCAAGGCGCACAGCAGCGGCAAGCAGCGTTTAGTCTCTTTCCTTCGGCGTGTGTGCGGGGGGAGAAGTGGAAAAAAAGAGAGGAAGGCAACGCAGAAGCGCGTCGGCACACCGGCAGAAGAGGGATTTCAGAAAAGCGCGGCCCCGCACGGCAGCGGCGGCAGCGGCGGGCATCGCCCGGGCAGCAAAGAAGAAAAGAAGACGAAGAATGGAAATGAATAATCCACGCAGAACCCCCAAAGGCAAAATATATAAAAAAAGTAATCACTTCGGCAGTTGGTGTTCCTTCACTTTCACGTGTCCAGCAGCCCAAGAGGACCGTGAGGGAGTGTGTGTGTAGTTTATTACCTGCAGGAATAAAAGAAAGAAACAACTGCCCCGGTCGCACACGCAACCACACGCACACTCACCTCACGGTGGCAGCGGCCTCGTGCCTCATTTGGGGACTAAGTGCAGCGCACAGCAACGAGGCCGTCAACGCGTGTGTGTGGGTGGCGGCAGCAAACAGGAGGGGGAAAAGGGTGCGCCGCCCGTGAGAACGTGCATGGGGTGGCGAAGCAAGAAAAGAGAAAGAAAAACATCCCTCAGAGCACAGAAGAGGGATATAATAGGATTAACCCGCAGAGACGAAAAACAAAATGAGCGCACAAAGAATACGCGTCGTCCCTGCGAGGGTGTATGCGCGTATGTGAAACTTTTGCCCCTCACCGCTTACCCAGCGGCAGCGGCAAGGGCAGCCGTGAGGAGCAACATCGGAGATGCACGCACAAACAGAGTGTTGGTGGCAGTGCTGTCCGCGTTGCTTTTCGCGTCGTTCGCAGCACTCGGGCTGCGGGTGATCGCCGCTGTGGTGGTGGTTGCATTGCTGCCGCCGGCGGGAGGGGCGGCGTTGGGCGTGGCAGATCGGCCTTGGGGGGTTGAAGGTGTTGGTGTACTTCCGGGTCCTTCTGCTGCCCCGTTTGCTGTCTGTGTTGGCGAAGCCGCAGTGTCAACCGATGGCGTTGGTGTTTCCCGACGACCTTCTGCTGATGATTCCCGACTTCCGGTGAGACCCGCCACAGTACCCGGCAGCCCTGCAGGAGCAGTGGGTTCTTTAGGCACCGACCGACTGACGCCTGATGGATTGTCCCCGTGCTCAGTTTTGACAGGGGCTGGAGGTGGTGGCAGTTGTTGTGGCAACGATTGTGGTGGTGCCTGTGGGCCGGCTGGTGCCTGTGGGTTCTGAGGTTGTGGTAGAGACCGCACTTCAGCCGCGGGAGGGCTGGACGTTGGGGACGCACAATCGCCGGACGCGCCCAGTGGATCCTCAGTTTCATTGATGGCGACGGTTTCGCCCTTCGACAGATTGTGCAGCGCACTGTTTGCGGTCACCTTGCAGGACAACGTAAACGCAGCAGCGCCTCCGCCCTCCGTTGGGGGTGAAGAGCACTTCCCCGCCGGGAACCCCCCCAGGTACACCGAACCGGCCACGAGGCAGAGGGTATGAGCGACAGCGGCAGCGATTTCACTGCTCCCCGCACCCGTCACTGCCTGCGGACACTCCTTCCAAGTAGACGGTTGCCCACCGGCAACGCGCCAGCGCAACTTGCCGTCAGTGTTCG